AAATAACAAACAAAGACAAACCGTTAGCTAGCGCTTGCTGGTAAGAACTGCAAGGAACGCGCTAGAAACCCGTGACACCTTCGCATTTCTTGGGTACTATGCAAGCATTTTCAGCATGATCAAAGTCTATCTCGAACCTGGTGACGGAAATGATGGTTGCTGGTTCTGATTGTGCTTTTCCGGGTAATGATGCGGTGGAGACTACTTCGCCGCCTATAAACCTTTCACCTCTCCATCTCGCTTTCTGGCCTCTCAGAGTATACGATGCACCAGAACATCTTATTTGGTACATCTGACAAGGTCAACCGTTCTGAGGCTCTGTTATAGAAACATACTTTTCTAATGTGACTCCCGGATATTGTGGCGGAAGAAGAGTTTGAGATAAGGGTTGTTGCTCCGCTGGAGTTTGTCACTATCTTATACGTATTGCATGGCTGCGTCGAAAAAAATTCCGGGTGCCAGTTTCAAAGATTATTTTCACATATTAATGAGATCCCACACGAGATCCTCAGAAATAGAGTCCCACAAAGCGTAGGACAGAGCAGATCTTGCCCAGGCAGTTCAAGGGCACAATAAACGAGTAAATCGTACACGAAATCCCTTCCCCTACTCTAACTTTTCCACACGCGGCGAGGAGGGAACAGCGATTTGTCAAATGCCAGACGAAGTGCGAATCTCTCCGAGGCTTTTACCTTTTTCTATCAGCAGTCCAGCAGCAACTCCAAGAAAATTCCGGCGGACTCAATCACTAAAGCTAACCAATAAAAAGGTTTGAGAATCGTATGGATCCCCAAAACAACTTAACAAAGTGACAACCATCAAGAAGCAGCCAACCTATCTTTATATAAATACAATAAGCAACATTGTTTTTTATGAAGCACCAATAACTTCATCAAGCATCAGTGGTTTAGTGGTAAAATCCATCGTTGCCATCGATGGGCCCCGCGTTCGATTCGCGGCTGATGCATCTCTTTTTCCCCTGGACTCCTCGCACAATCTTTTGCCACCCATCCACACAGTCCAGCAATCTCATTTTTTGCGCCCCACGCCCTTGCGCCGCGGAGCGTGGCCCGATTCTGGTGGCGGGCCGACTCGGTCGCGGCACCGAGCCGAAATAGCACCGCCCGAGTGGAGACCCCGTCACTGCGGGCCTACCCGGAGCCAAACTACACCAATCCCAACTTCGCAACTCGCCTTCGCCGCAATCCCGCCTAAGAGCTGGAACTTGCTGGCCAGCTCAAACGCTGGGACTAGTCTTGATTGTAGAGAATGCGGCATACCAAAAGCCACCCAGTCATCGCTGTATGCACCACACTCTCGCTCTATCAAAGCTCAGTATGACACACCAAATGAGCCTCTTCCGGTGTCCCAGCAGCTGGCCCCGTACACCGACACACCCAAGAAAGGAAGGTATTAAGTGTCCGTCTTGCCCAGGCACTGTCGAGAAAACTATAGCCGCCTGTGCACCATCATTAGCAAAATTCTCTGCACAGTGCCCACAAACCTTAGGTCACTCTCCGCGGACTGAAGAAAGACGAACAATGACGTACATACCAACCCGAGCTTCTCGTTAGTGTCCGGAAACAAACTCTCATCAGGACAGGAGCCACAGGCCAGTTGCGGGTTCAGCACCGTTACTTACCCCTGCGAACTCTACACCTCCTCCGGCCCCGCACACACCTGTCCCTCTGGCATACCTGCACGGCCAGCACCACGAGAACGCCTTTGAGGAGATAGATGCTGGGCATGTTGGCGAGTATGACGACAAATCTTGTCGTAGCAGTGCCGTCGATTTTCAATGGCGCGAAGAGTGAAAAGTGAACAGCGAACACGCCCCGAAGCCAGACTGGTAACAGAGTGTCTATGTATCAATTGTACGCCCAACTCCAAACACACGCCTAACAGTTCGGAAGACGCTATTCAAACAAACCCACCCACCAATCAAACGTACGTATCCAACATCCAGCGTAGTGCCTCACCTGTCTTCTAAGCCTTCAAGCCCTCCAACAACGCCCCCTCCCCCTTCGACTCCACAGCCTTAAACATGCCACCCTCGCCACCAACATCCACGCCCATCTCCGCACGCTCATACGCGGCATCACTGCGATCGGTCAAAATGCGCAAGTCCTCTTCGGCAAGCACACCCTTCCCACCCTCAGCAACATCCCAAGCCAAGCCATCCTCGCGCCTCAGCAGCCTCTGCAGCTCCTCCAACTCGTCTCTAACCTCCTTGTCCTTGCCCGAGCGGCTCAGGCCCCCCTTCCTAATCACCAGTTTTTCGAGCCGGCGCTTCCCTTCTGCTGCCTCTAGCAGCTGCGTCTCGACTGTGTTGCGCGTCGCGAACCGGTACACCAGCACGTTGTTTGTTTGCCCGATCCGGTGCGCCCGGTCTTGCGCTTGCAGGTCTTGCTGCGGGTTCCAGTCGCTGTCGAACAGGATGACTGTGTCCGCGGCTGCGAGGTTGATGCCTTGGCCGCCGGCGCGCGTGCTCAGGAGGAAGAGGTTGACGGGGGCGGCGGAGGCGTCGTCGTTTTCATTCTCTTCCTCATCGGACTGCTGTTGCTGCTGCTTGCCTCGCCGCTTGGAGGCTTTGGGCTTCGGAGTCTCGGCCGGTTTGGCCGGCTTGTTGAACGCTTCGATGAGCTTTTGTCGTTCGGACTGCGCAACGCTGCCGTCGATTCGCGCCGTGCGCCAGCCGCGCAGCTCTTCCGCGTACTGCTCTAACAAGTCCAGCATCGTCTTGAACTGGCTGAACACCAGCACCTTGTGACCCTCTGCGAATAGCCGCGACAGTAAGCTGTCAAGCAACAGCATTTTGCCGCTGGTCGTCACAAGTGTCTCGTCTGGCTCCGTTTGCTCTCCGGTTTGCGCGTTGTAAAACGGGCTGAAGAAGTTATACGGGCTATCACAGCACAGCCGCAGTTGCATCACCGGGTTCTGCAGCTTCTTGGCTTGGATCTGACGCTTGGCGAGGGCGAGTGTGGCTGCGCGGAGAGATTCTTCCTCGTCTACTTCGCCTTCTGTCGTTTCAGGAGTCTCCTCCGAGGCTTCTTCTTCCTCCAGGGAACGGAAATATGCCGTGTCGCTGACTTCTTCATATCTCTTCTTGCCGGCGGCCGCACGGCGACGTCCCCGCCCACTGGTGGCTGAGGCTGGCGTAGCGTCGCGGCTGGTTTTCGTACTCTTGCTAGGCGTCGCTGTGCCGCTGCTTTCAGCCCCTTTACGCTTCAGGCTTGCTGGCGTGCCATTACGGGGTGTGCCTGCCGCGCTGTTGGTCATGCTCTCGACGGCCTTCTCTTCTAGGTAGGTCCTGCTTGTGCCGTCCAGAATGGCTTGGTACAGCTCGCGCTGCATCGGCGACAACGGTGCGAAAAGAACGTATTCCCGCTTACGCGGCATGAGCTTCTCCACATCGGCCTTGACTCTGCGCAGGAGGAAGGGCTTCAGAATAGCGTGCAGACTTGCTACTAGCTTTTGCTTCTTCTCCTCTGACAAGATCTGCTCATATCCATTGCGTTCTTTCAGTGCCGAAAAATCAAACCAACTCTCGAAGCTCTCCAGCTTATCGAAAATAGTGGGCATCAAGAAGTGTAGCAACGACCACAACTCTGTCAAGTTGTTCTGCAGAGGAGTTCCTGTAATCAGCAAGCGGTTTGCTGATTGGTAGCTCTGTAACTCTCGGATGAGTCTACAGTTAAGGTTCTTGATGCGATGGCCCTCGTCGATGATGATGAACTTCCAGCCAAAGCCTGCAAGGAATTTGCGGTCGTTCATGCAGATCTCGTAACTTGTAACGACAATTGGAAATTCCGGGCTACCAGGACGTTTCAGTTGTTTCCTGCGGATCTCCTCGCGTTCCTGCTTGCTGCCGTGATACAGCACCACCGGGATTTCAGGTGTCCATTTTCGTACTTCGGAGACCCAGTTCATCGTCGTGCTAAGAGGTGCGGAGATCAGGAACGGTCCGTAGACGCCCTTCTCGCGGAGAAATGCTAGAAATGAAATAGTCTGGATGGTTTTGCCCAGACCCATTTCATCCGCCAAAATTCCGTTCAGGCCGTTTTCGTACAGTGATGTCAACCACTCCAAGCCTTCTAACTGGTAGGAGCGCATGGTACCGCCGGTTACGAGTTTTGGTTGTCTCGCTGAGTTCAGATTCTGGATACCAATATCAGACGACTTGACGTCTGCCTCAGCGGCCTCCTGCAGCGCCTCGGACACGCTCGCATTTCCACCTTTCGCTTTGAGATCCTCCTTCTTGACAAAATCGGAGATTTTGGACTGGCCTGCTTCTTTTTTCGGCCTGCCTCTACCTCTTGCCGGCACCGTTTTCTTCGCCTCCATGTTATCTTCATTCGGAGCCGCTTTGCCTGTTGTGACCGTAGCACGCGTGGCTCTCCTTTGGCTCGCTTCTGCAACCTTTTCAGCCTTTTCCTCTCTTTTCTTTGCCTTAACATCCTTAGCCTCTTCCTCTTCTTCCTGTCGCTGCATCTGCGCTAGCATAATGCTCGAATAAAGCTTGCTCTGGCTCAGCAGGTATTCCAGCGCCTTAAACTTTGAGTCCACAACTTCTTGTCCGCCCTGTATATCCTTTTGGCGCTCTTTCTCCAACCGCTGATCGCGCTTCGCGTCTGCCTTCTCGCGAGCTCGGCGCATCTGTTCCTCCTCTTTCAGCATGTCGCTCGACACGCCATTGTTGTCGTTTTTCTCCATAATGCTATCTGTAATAGGCGAGGATGCTGGTGTCTCTTTTGGCGACGTAGAAGAGGCGTTTGTGGAGGACATGGCGCGGGTGGTAAAAATTTACAGGTCGTCTAACGAGGCGTGCGGTCTACTTGCGACCTTTCGAAGACGTCAATGGAGGAATCGGAGGCCCCGGTATAGCACTGGTAGAGTTTTAGAGGAGAGGCAAAGTGGAGGCCTGCTTTGTTGCGTTGCGCTGGACCGCCACAGCAGCTAAATTGGCGCGAGACGCGTCGACGTCACGAATCGCGGGACGACGCGACAGAGAGCAGATAAGCGAGGAATCCTGGCGATCTGGGCTTTCGACCATCCCGTCGCTCCATCCCATTGCGGTTTTTGAATCGCGACCCCCACTCCCCTGCTCGTGTCACCAGGGACTATTTTTTCTTAGGAAGTCCCTATACCTGCCTGGGCGAAAATTTCACGTCGTATGCTCGCTTCCTTATACAACTCAGGAAAAGCTCCTTGGCATCTGCAAGACAGTGGCCGGCAACACGCGAAGGGATCGGACATTTTTGACTACATTTCCGATTTCGTACATAGTAGGAGCAAGCTACTCGCGTAGCAATAATAGGTATCGCGGCCCTTTGAGGCCTGCTCGCCAAAAGCGCTTTATCCGCAGTCTTTAAAACATCGTAGAATCTCGAATACTTTACCCCCTGACCACAGCCCATACAGAATTATCATGAATTAACTACTGTACTCCGGTATGCCAAGCCCTTACCCTATTGAATCCGCCGAACCTACCTGCTTATCGCTTCTCCGCCTCAATCTGTGCCTTCAAATCCTCCAGTGCCTCCTCTCTCCTCCTGAGATGGCTCTCCAATCCCTCAACTTGCTCTCTGACCGTCTGGATCTCCTCCCTGATGCCCTTCAAGCTTTCTCCTTCCTTCGCCTTGCCCTCGCCCAGCTCCAGATCCCTCAGCTCCCTTCTCTTGTAATCCAGCAGCTGCTCCAGTTCACGCTTAACCAGCGCCGGCTTGCTGTCATCGCGCCTGTTGCCACCCTTGGCTTTCATAGTCTCCTCGACGTTTGCCAACTTGTCATCCAGCTCTCTCAGCTGCTTCTTCAGCCGCACTTCCTCCCAGTCCTCTGTGGTGCGCGCACTGCTGAAGTCCGTACCCTTGTTGTACCGCGCCCTGTCGCCAACGCCCAGACGGCTCAGATAGGAGTCACCGAACTTGGCCTTACGGCCCGTGGCCGTGTCTTCATGTCGGTTGACGCCCCAACGCTCCGAGGGACTCTTGACGCGATCGATGTTGTATTCAATGTTTCCCTTTTCAAAGGAGGCGCGTAGAGATGGCGGAACGAATCGCGGAATGCGGAAGCCCTCGTGCCGCATGTTGAGGATATGCAAGAAGGCAAGGCAGGCGTCCTTGCCAACACCCTCATGACCCTTGGCGTTGACAAGGTTCCATGCGGACCGGATGTCTGTGTCCGGCACGTCGAGGGACTCGTACAACGGCACCAGCGACTCGAACGATACATCTCCACGGTGGTCTTTGTTTGCGCTGTAGATTTCCTCGTACTTGTTCTTGTCGGCGGGCGACATATACCAGTCGAAGCCATCCTTCAGGCCGGGGGTGTCGTCATCGTCTTCAACTCGCTCGAAGGCAGCTTGGCTACCAGTCAGGGCGCGGGAAGCCTGGACAAGGTGGGCCTTGGACTCGGGAACGAGCCAGTCGGGGAGTGATTGCGGGACGTCGTTGTATTCCTGTCCAAGTCAGCTTCCCCCTAGATGCTCGCTCGGTGCCCGAAAGCCGGGACGGAGCGCGGACGACGTACGCCGTTGACCAGGTCGAAGATCAGCCTCATGGCGACGCAGAATTCCTCGAAGTCCAGGTTTCCATCGTTGTCTACGTCCGACAGGTCCCAGATGCGCTCGAGCTGGTCGTCGCGCAGCTGGGAGTTCTTGAGGACCGAGGCAGCCTGGGCGCCATTGAGGTGAAGGCCGCCGTTGGAGAGCGAGGAGAAGATTTCCCAGTAGCGCTCGACCTCCCACTGCTCTATGCGCTTTGCGGCCATGGTGGATGTGATGGTTGCGACGGAGGGGTGGTGCACACGGAGGTAAGCTGTGGCTGCGCCTGCCCTGTCGGTACACGGGTCGGGCGCGAGGGCGCCAAGGGCAGGGCGGGGCCCCTTCCCCGTTCACGCCGTTCTCGAACCCTTCTCTTCCCGTCAATGCAAGCGATGCTCCACAGGCCACCAACGGCCGTACCTAGGTACTACTCGTACATACTCAAATGCTCCTGCTCAGCCTAGCCGACGTGAAACCCGTGGCGCCCTCCTAGAATAGCACTTCTATCGAGCACTGTCTGCTGTCCACCAATCACCGCCGTCCGAAATACGAGAGCTATCAACCCATACTCCCTCTGCCTGTATACGAGTATGCTGTTATGCAACGTGCTACCTGACTGTCGGGCCTGCGAGCACTTCAAAGCTGAACATGGCCGCACATAAAAGGGCTGAGGCCCCAGGCTAGGTATCAGTCTCCATCGCTCTCAAGTCTTTCGCTTCCTCTCCAAGTCGCTCGCTTCTCTCGCGTCCGTTTCTGTCTTTTCCAATCATGAAGTCTCTCTCTATTGCTGGCGCGAGCCTGCTTTCCCTCCTTCCTGCGTCCGCCGAGTATATTTGGCCGTCTCAGTATGACGAGATTGAAGACGTCTGGAGTCTTCAATCTGGCTACGTCCATCACGGTTTCCGCGATAGTAAGTTGACCAACCTATCAATCACCACTCTTTGAAACTTACATCGTTAGACGTCACGCCCTGCACCTTCGGCGACTCCAAGTCGCAATTGACTGCCGCAGAATGGTAGATATTCCTAAAACTCTTTCTTGCACCTCGCATCTGACCATAGCCATAGGTTGCGCACTGCCTACCACGACTTTGCTACCCACGATACCTCCACTGGCCTCGGTGGTGTTGATGCCTCCATTATGTACGAACTGGAGCGTGACGAGAACACGGGTGCCGGTTTCAACGGCTCTCTTGGCTTCTTCCTGAACTACTACAGCAACAAGGCCTCTATGGCCGACCTTGTTGCCCTTGGAGCCATCGTCTCCGTGGAAGCGTGCGGGGGCCCAAGAATCCCCTTCCGCGCCGGCCGCATTGACGCTACCGAGGCTGGTCGCATGGGTGTCCCCAAGCCCGATGAGGACATTGATACGCACAAGAAGGAATTTGCTGCTGCCGGTTTTAACGTCAGTGACATGATCGCCGTTGTGGCTTGTGGCCACACGTTTGGTGGCGTTCACGGCAACGATTTCCCTCAAATCACCGGTGTCGACTCTGAGGATAACTTCCCCAAGTTTGAGAACGGCGACGAATCTGCCCACGTCTTCGACAACAATGTTGTCACGGAATACCTCGATGACAGCACGAGCAACCCGCTGGTTAAGAGCTCTAACAAGACGTTTATCTCGGACCATCGTGTCTTCAGCTCTGACGGCAATGTAACCATGAAAGCGCTTGCAGACCCCAAGGCTTTCCAGAGCACCTGCAAAGACGTCCTGGCCCGAATGATCGACACCGTCCCTTCGGCTGTGAAGCTTTCGGACGTTCTTACGCCCCCCGAGATGAAGCCTTATGAGCTTTCCCTCACTTTGACCGAGAAGAACACGCTCCACTTTGAGGGTAAAATCCGTGTCCGCACGACCGAGATTGGCTCCATGAACGCTCAGGCCGTCACCCTCACGTACACCGACCGCAATGGTAAAACTGCCAGCAACAAGACCATCGAAACCATGCACGGTCGCTACCAGGGTGGCACGTCCTCGGGCTTCGGCGAGGTGTTCGACTGGTTCGAGATTGACACGGAGCTCCCGATCGACACGTCCATCAGCAAATTCGACATCACTCTCACCAAGCCGGATGGCAAGACTGTCTACAACAACGCTGGCCACGGCTTCCCTATCCAGGACTCCATTCTCTACGATCAAACCAAGTCTTGCATGTCGCTCCCCGACGCGAACAACAAGAGGACCGTCAAGGTCGTGGCTTACGTGCGCTCCGAGCGCGCCAACGACCCCGTCAGCTTCAACTTCTACCAGAAAATCGAGAGGCAGGGTGTCATTGTTCCTAAGCTCGACACCTTGAACCAGAAGATGACCAAGGTCGAGGGTAGCGAGAAGAACGGCTACGTCCAATTCACCGGCGAGGCCGAGGTCAGCCTGGGCCAGTTCGGTACCACCCTCGACGTGCTTGTCGGCGAGGGCGACAACGTCGATATAGTCGACTTCAAGAGGACCAACTACCTGACGCAGTGCGCTTAAGTGGATGCGACGTGTACGAGGCATGGTGGTTGAGCAATGTAGTTTAGTGCAAACTGGAATCATATCAACAGATACCCCCAAAGCATTGTTTTTAGATAGTTTAGAATATATCTCGTATTTACGCAAAATTTTCCTTCATCGCTGTGACTTTCCTATCTCATTTTCTCGTTTCATTTTCTTCATCGCTGTGACCTGCCTATCTCGTTTTCTCGCTTCCTACCTGCCTCCACATGCACGCCCCTTCGCATTTAGAAGCACGGCTAGAAGAGGCAGCTCGAGTCCGCAAACGGCATCGCGTCGCCGTAGGCCTGCGCACGGATTCGAAATTTGAGACATGTTGCTTTTCCGCGGCTAGCAAGCCTGATACAGCAAGGCACTGGATATTTTGCTCACCCCACGTGGTAACATATCTGTAAAACTAAAAAACTATATAATATACTTTCTTCTCTGAGATAGTTTATATCTTCATCCCTTTATAAGTATCTTTAAACCCTTCTAATACTTTATTTATATACCCTCGTAGATACTCTAGTAGTTGTATATATCTATACCCCTATATCTTTTAAAATACTATTATATCTAGTATTTTTTTACTTTTGTATAGTTACATAGTGCCTACTGACCGTAATGTAATGGTCTAATATAACTACCTAAGGAGTGCTTTATAAGTATCGTATATTTCACTTAATATGTAGTTAAGGGGTGGGCAAATTATCCGGGGCCATACAGCAAACTCACTTCCAACAGTTAGCGCAAGAATATGCAAGCCACCGTTACATGAGCATGAAACTATTTTTTTTTTTTTTTTTTTTTTTTTTTTTTTTTTTTTTTTTTTTTTTTTTTTTTTGGACATCTTCTGATCGGTTGAGATATCGGGAGTCGCCTATATAAAGTAATAACAGAGCCCTGATAAGAAATACAGGCCCTCAGCGGCTATCAAACACATCCTCAAAGGATGTCCTCGCTAAGCATCGGCTGCATGGGAGTGCTATACGAGCATCCTAGGTTTTTGTACTCCTAGCACACGCACGAAAAAACAAGGGAGTCCAGGGCAAAGTTTGAACAACCACAGAAAGAAATGGCCCAGCCGCAGGGCTGCAGCCTGCGCCACCGTTTTGGCTAATGCTCAGAAGAGCGAGGCTTGCCAGGAGCGGGCTACAGCGCTGCGGGGATAGCGTACCTAGCGGCTTTCTGGGCAGGGGCTCGTATCATAGTACGGTGTTTGGATGGGAAATTGGTGCGTGGGCCGTAGTGTTGCATGCATACAATACAATAGCAGTCAACAGGGGTGAGGGGTGGTTTCTAGGGGCGTGGCGTATCGGCTCTTCCGATCTGCACGGCGCGGTAAGCTGCTTTTGCGTGCTGAGGCTGAAGTGTATGTAGAGCGCTTGCGCGCTTCGGTGCCTTCCTTTCGGACCTTTGGGCTTTCGGCAGTGCCGTTGCTCTCTGTCGAGCTGCCGAGTTGGGACGCTTTCGTGTTGCCCCGCCCTATACGAGGATGGAAGTCCCTGGTATCTGCTCTGCGTCTGTAGGGTGCTTGGCTATATCCTAGGATGTCAGAGTGTGGGATAGGAGAGAAATAATTCTGGGATGCTTCTTTGTTTGTTGGCATATACCGTTATTGTATTGATTGACTTGGAGACTTTGATGTCTGTGAGAAATTCTTAGGCGCTAGGTGTGGTAATACGGTGTACCCATGCCCAGATGCCTTCAATACACGCAGTGGAGGCGACCACAGCCTTGCCGAGCCGGAGATGCCGATTTTCGGCTCGGCAGAGTTACGCGCATGGGCCGTTCTGGCCGCTGAACTCTCCTTGCCGGCCGCGCTATGGTTTCTGTCGTTTGGACCTTGACAGCCTCGTGGGGCACTCGAAACTTGTGGTCCCTTTCGTAGGCTAGTGTTGTGGGGCGAAAGGGGCTTGGTGGTTCGTTGTTGAACAGTGGACCTTTGGGCGGCTTGGATTGTCGAGTTCGAGGGCCTAAGGAGGTATTGATGGAATGACCAAAGCTAATGTTATGATTGTAAGTGACCTTTACTTTAGTTCAAAATACTTGGTTCTACGAGGTAGAAGAAACCATAGCCCATAGCTGTTGTATCTTATGCTAATAGGCTAAATTGTCCGCAGTGTTCAACTTAATCTTTGCGTGCCAAAGGAGGGAGAGAAAAAGAAGGAAAAGAGAGAGGCGAGGAGGAGCAACAAGGGCGTAGTCAGAGTAGTTCCCCTTGCATTCATGAACTACCTTGCTGGATTAAACTGATAGGTGGTCGAGAGGTAAGTAACATAGGTTTTCCTTCATAGTAGTTGGTGGAGACATTCTACCGTGTCATGTCTGTGAGGAAACTCTTCAAAACAATAAATCAGGTAGCTAATATCGACCATGTTATAATTTTTCCCAGTTCACCTTTAAACCGCTTATCTGGCTTTCTAAATCCATGCCAAAAATTGGAACAGCAGAAAATGAGCGCTACAAATTAGAACCGGCGGTGTGTAGAAAACGAAAGTTGAAGTTGTTTGCCTTTATAATGAGTAGCAGCTTGAGATGTACATTCTGGGTCTTGCTTAGCTTTTACTGGACATTTAGGAATGGCTATTTTTAGTGCGTCGATCCGGCGATCAGCTTGGTAATTGGATGCAATAGGATGGGACCCCGCGGTCTTTGTTGCACTGCTGTGTTTGCAGTTATACACACAAGTGAGGAAAGACCTCACGAAAGCGTTTATTTTGCCAGACAGTTCTTGTTGAGCAGAAGACAGGGTTTCTAGTTTCCTTAGCAACGACCATGCATAAATTGGTCCGTGCATGCGTCTTTCTCAGGAAACTCGGTTAGAGATTTTCCGCCTCTTTCTGTCATTCTGTTGACAACTTCGCAAAAGCGCTGGTACAGTGAACTACAAATCCAAGTCTTTTACATATCTCTTGTTCCCTTCTTTTAAAGTCAATCCTTCGAAAGAAAACACTCTATGTCTCGCGAAGATGAAGCTATGGTGCTAGCACCGCTCGCTATACTTGCTCAAAGTGTTGTCAACATCATACTGCTTTGATTCCAGTTTAAAATGCCTAGAATCACCACCGCCGATCGGAAGCGAGTCTATCTAGCTTGCAAAGGGTTATTTATAGGTGCTAGAGCCCGGATCAAAAAGGGAAAAGTCCATAAGTACTTGAATCGGCACCGAGAATATGTTGAGCCGCTCAAAAAAGAAATGGGCGCTGAAACAGTCAACAAAATTGTACATGAGCTGCTAGCCAATGGTCATTTCTCTCGACCATCGGTTGCTAAGGCCGAATTCCCTGAGCTCTTCCCACCTTTTCCAAGCAAGGATGCCCAAGAAGTATCAGAAAAGGGTACAGTGTGCCCCGGCTCTGATATGTCGGAAGAAACTTCACCGTCTAAGGACTTGTCATTTCCCATGCTAGAAGCCGATGCAATTTCAACCACCGAGGAAAAAATACAAATTCCAGAAGATGGTGAAACTTCGCCTATCGAGGAACAAACACAAACTCCAGAAGATGATGGCGAGGTTGAGACGGATGTTTCTGATAATTATGAAGAACCTCGTTTAGGTAAGATATCAATCTTTGAGCTAGCATAGGCTTCTAAGTAACCATAACAACTTACAAGATAATAGTGGAGCAAGTCACTTCACCTAAAAGTAGCGAATTGCCTTTTGGGAGGACCAAAATGCCCTCATTGTTCCCTTCGGCGTTCCCATACAAAGCTCAACATTTAATCTTGACAAACGCTCAGCATATCCTTGAGGAACGTTTCTTCGATTTCTTCAAGAAACATATGCCATCCATGTTTGAGCGCCGTAAGTTAGACTGTGGCGAAGCCGCAGAACTGACGTTATGGAAAAAGCTTCTGAAGCACGAAAGTGTCCCAAAGGACGCCCTCGACCTACAAGGAAATAATATCGCCAAATTGTGCTATCATCTGAACAGTATGCGCAACACAACCGCCCACCGCGTGCCCATTCAATCCCTGGTTTTATACAAAATGCTATATGCCTCTGCAGATCTTGCCAGAGCCCTCCGCGATTATCCTCGAGCGGTCCAATTACAAAAACTCTGTCGGGAAGTCGATATTAAGAGGGAGATCATGGAACTGCGCAAGAATGGCTTGCTACAAGTCTTTCGTGGTCATCTCAATGAAATTGAACGTCAACGGGAGCTCCTAGACAAGAAAGAGGAAAGCCTCAAAGCCACTCTCTTGAAGGATGATCATGAAGTTAAGTCTATTGTCGGACGACTTCTACATGATTCAGCAAAGAAAATAATCGATAAAGGCCATGATGTAGGAGCGGAACAACCAAAAGAGGAGAACAAGCCCGGGCTATTTAGAAGCTTGGGAAGGCTTTTTGGTGATTGGTAGCCTTCGGGTTTTACCAAAAGGATGATATCTTTTTGAGCCTGCATAATGTGGATGGTGTCTTTTTACATTTAGTATCCATTTATTCCGTCCTACCACTGTTTTGGTTTACGGAAATCGAGGATGTACATGATCTTACGGTATTGTTTTTGGTTCCCTAGAGAAGTCCTAGACTTATATCTTCTAGGTAGGATTTAGACTTCTAGCATATCAGTTCAAATTGACTCGCACAGGGAATACAAATCGACTCCTGCTCCGGGCGTGGCCCGAATGAGCTACCGCAACTCAGTACAAGTATCACCAGTTTCTCGCACTCCGCGTGTACCTTTCTCTTCCGCACACTCTCGTTCAGACTTTGCCTTCCTCTGACTTCGACCTCGACCCCGCCACATGACTTTGGATTTCACCACGGCCATCAAGAACCGCACAGAGCAGGATATCATGACAATATACATTGTTCCAACATCACGACCGATACTACCTCAGGATTGCCATGAAGCACACACTTATCAATGGACCGATTTTCTTTTCTTTTTTCTTTTTCCTATTTTCTCATCCCTTATCCATGGTTGACCATTTTTGGTTCTTTTGACAGCCGATACGACTACAGTTGATTTTCTCATTCCCCTGCCCCAAAACTCCAGCTCCAGCGCAACACGCCAAAGAAAAACAATGATGTTTGAAATCTACATGTACGAGTAAAGCTCGCCATCTTTGCTACCAGTTGATGCCAACCGTCATTAAGACGAACTGGTCAATATGACGGAGCGAGCGAGTGCAGATGGAGAAACGAGGTTTAGAACACTTCCCCCTCAGCTGACGATTTACAGCCCCAATGATCGTGAAGACTTTCTCAATCTTCCAATGTTTCCCGAAAACATTTTGTCCGGAGAAAATCCTGTGGCGCAGTAGATAAGTTCGTCCAGCTCGCTGACTGTACGGGCGAAATAACGACTGGGTTACCCAAATGCACGAGCCCAAGTCGTCCAATTCATAAAAACAACATAAATACTCAAGGAATCTCCATCCTTTTGGAAGGGGATAAGGGGTTAGAATATCTACAACATACCGCTGAGCTAATACTTCTAAGAAATAGCAGTTTCACATGGCTTCAACTGACATTACCACTGTCGTCACTTCTTCACTGTTTTTTTCGGATGAAGTAGCGAACGCCGAGCTTCTGGATTTTATCGGTTCTTGTTGTCCACATGGTAGTGATATGTACTATGCATGCATGAACATGTAATATACCCCTCGCTGTGCAGCTTTCAAATATGATTCAAAGCAAAGCTGTCGAAGCGAACAACTGTTCAGTCAGCGTACATCTGCTCATCAGGCAATATAATAAGACGCAGCGAAGGAAATGCACTATATCACACCTACGACGTCGATATCCCTGCTCTAGTAGTCTTAGCAAACTCGCATCGTAGAGATTGTCGTCACCAACCAATACCGTCAATACCAGCAAGATACCTGAGTTCAGCAGTGTCGTCAGCGGAGACTGGACATATTGGCGAGGTCGTGAGGAGTCACAGGAGTGCAAAACAAAAAAGCAAAAGAGGACGGGCTGCAAATCTGGCCCCATTCCACAGCAGTAGCAAAAAGAACTCTCCCGGACAGGCTTGAACTGTCAACCTCCTGATAGATGCTAAACAGGTGCGAAACCCGAATAACAGTCAGACGCGCTAGCCAATTGCGCCACGGAAGAGGTGTTATACTTCGATGACAGACAAAAGCCACCAACAACATTTATAACCAGCAAACAAACGCCATTCAACAGCGACAACAGCCATCACAAAACGCAGGCGTGCAGCGCAGAACAAAGAACACGGACATTGTTGTGGGGACAAAAAGAAATGAATGGAACCTGGCCGAGCAAAAGGAACAGTGGGCCTAACAGCCAGGCAAGGCAGACGGGCCATCGGCTCCACCCACAACACTACACAGGCAGCCAAAAAGGAACTCCCCCGGACAGGCTTGAACTGTCAACCTCCTGATTGCCCTAAACGAGTGTCTTCATAACAGTCAGACGCGCTAGCCAATTGCGCCACGGAGGAATTGTTGAAAGTTACGTTGGCGTGTGGAATTTATGATTGCGGCCACAGGGCTTTGGGCTGCGAGCTACGCACGTACCAGGGAAATGGGAAAAAGTCGGCAGGCTGTCTTCAGATGATGCACGGTTGGTGCCGAGTGCTGGATTTACTTGCTGTTGGTTGGATTGTCGTGGTTAATGGGGAGTTTGGCTGAAAGTTGCGTCTCTCCGTTGCCCCCGAATATTTTCTTCTTGAGCTTTGCGTGCTGTAAGAATTCAGTGTAGACAAGGAATTCGAGTGTTAAAAGCTCCAGTCATGCTCGAGTCATGTTTTGCAGTCTCTACTCATAAACGCAACAATCAAACATCCTCTCATCAACCAGCAAAAACTGGCCGCATGGCCCAATGGCAAGGCGCTTGACTACGAATCAAGAGATTCCAGGTTCGACCCCTGGTGTGGTCATCTTTTTGCTCCTGGAACGGCCTAGCAATGCCGTAAAGTTTTGCGGACCAGGAGAGAAAATTTTTTTTACTGTTCGTGGCGGCGCGGCGCGGATGGTCCGGGATGCAGCGGAGCGGAAAGCAGGCCCGATAAGGAACTCGGCGGGAGAGCGACGGCGATGACGTATGCGCTGGATGAAGATCGTGAAGGGGGTGGACGGTGGACGGCGGACGGGGATGAAGGGAGGGGTGTGTGTTGATGGGCGGCTTTGAAATTTGTAGAATGACAGTTGATAAGGGTCTTTGAGAAAACGATGGAAGGCGGGGTAAAAAAATGAGCAATAAGAGTGGTTTGGATGGGAGTGACGTATTAGATAGGAGATATGACTTCAACACCAATGGCTTGTCGATGATAGTGTCTGATGATCAGAACCAGGGGTGCCAGGTGGGATGCTACTCCTATTGCCGTCGATGGCGTGCTCGTCACTGTACACAGAGTACCTATGGACCGTACATAACGTCCGTCACCGTTGAGCGAAATCCACCGTCCAGCGAGATAGGAAAGGATACAAGCAGTCCCCATGGAGTACTCCTTATCTAGCTACATGTTTGAGTCCTGAATATAAGCAAGGGGTTCTTTAGAGGTATACATATCTACAACCTTCTTGACTCGATTTCGCTTCCACTGCGTACACGCATCGTTATCTCGCAAGATCTTAAATCTCGCTGGATGGTGACGGAGATTACTCGACGTGGTACAGAGGCGATCAGTCACGGACGAAAGCAACTACAAGCACATACAAGCACATGCAAGCGCACAGCAAAAGGTCCAAAAGGTCAGAAACGAGGCCTTCGCCAGGTATATCCATAGTTCTATAGATCGATCTATCATGACCCGTCGACCCGTCGATCTTGAAGTCAGCGCGCGCGCAAGCAGTTGAGGCTGCGAACACAGAAAACAACAACAGCGACGACGATCGGCAGGTGGAAAAAAAGAGGAACAAGCAAGGTCGATTTGAGAAAATTCGAGACGGGGGTTTATAAAGGAAGAGGAAGGAAGAAGAAAAAGAGAAAAAAAAGTCTTTATATCATCAAAGCCCTCCCAAACGTCCTTGAGAATGCTTCATGCCGTTTCATGCATCAATCGTTGCCCTTGCAATAAACTTTTCTATATCCCCTTTCCCATCTAAGCCTGCTTGTCGGCCGCCTCCTCGGGCTTGGCTTCAGCATCCGTCATCTCCTGGTCCTTGGACTCCGAGGCCTTGGACTCCTCTTCGGCCTTCTTCTTGGCCTCGGCTTCGGCGCGCTTGGCCGCCGCCGCCTCCTCGTTCTTCTTCTGGATAGCCTCGGCCTCCTCCTGCTGCTTGTCCTTGTAGCGCTGGACGATGGGGCCGGCAATCGCCCGGATCTCGTCCGACTTGGCGACGTACGCAGCCTTGGAGGCGTCCTCGCCGTCCTCGTAGAGCCAGTCCTGGACTTTTTGTTAGCTAGGTTGATTTCGGCGTGTGAAGTGGATGTACGTACCTCGGAGGTCTCAAGCTTCTCCTTCAGCCTGGTCTTCTCGTCGTCGCTGGCGAAGTCGGCGAAGATGTCATCGATCTTGGCGCGCATCTCGTAGATGTATGCCTCGAGCTCGTTCTTCTTCTCGTCGGTGTCGGCGACGAGCTTGTCCTCCATGTACATCTGGTTCTCGCGCTCGGCGGCAGCGGCCCTGGCCGCCTCGTCAAGCGAGGCAGTGCCAGACGACAAGGGCAGGTCACCCTTGCGAACCTGCTTCTTAACCTTGCGCATCTTGGGCTTCTGCTCGCCCTTCTCATCGACCTCCATCGCCTGTTAAAGTCGCAAATTAGCATTCTGGGTCATGAAACCAAAGCGCAATGCTGATTCCTGTAGGCTTCCCAATACTTGGAGAGGTAGAAATCAGACCTGAGAATTGTACTTACGTTCTCATCCTTCTCGCCCTCCTTCTCGGGAATGGGCTCCTCAACCTCGACGTCCTCAACATAGTAGCCCTGCTCAACGTTCAGGACACCGTGCAGGTTAAGACGGGCCTTCAGCTTGCAGATCATGAAGTCGTCCTTGGCGTCCGCCTTGACGCCCTTAACGGAGAAGCGGCCGATCCAGGGGTTGGTCTTGCCAGGCAGCATGTCAGGCTTGGCATACTTCGCCTCCAGATCGAAAGGCTGCTTGCGGTAGAAAGTAAGGATCTTAGTCGAAGGCATAACATTGCCCCTGTTGAAGACGGTGAGGTTGGTGTCCTCGTCAGGAATGTCAGGGGACTTCTCCCAGGTGAACTCGATGGGGTAGTTGACAATGTCGTGAACGGAGAAGTCACGGACACGGAAGACGGGAGAGAGAATGGCGCAGCTGAACGCACAGCCACGAGCGATAGCCTCGTCGGCGTTCTGGGTGTAGGAGAGCTGCTTGCCAAAGAAGTTCTGGATGGTGGCCTTCAGCGCAGGGACACGCGTGCAGCCACCGACCATCTCGATCTGGTCGATATCCTCGACCTTGAGCTTGGCATCGGCAAGGGCCTGCTCCAGGGGAACGGTGGCGCGGTCCAGGAGGGGCTGGACGAGCTGCTCAAGCTCCTCGCGCTTGAGGAAACCGCGGACGTCGACATCGTTCATAATGGACTCGATGGAGAGGGGCGCGGAAGCGTTCGCGGAGAGAACCTTCTTGAGCTTCTCGCAGGCAGTCGCGAGGCGGACCTTGGCCTTGGGGTTCTCGTTGACGTCAATCTTGAACTTCTCCTTGAACTCGGCAGCGAAGTGGTCGACAAGGGCCTTGTCAAAGTTGCGACCACCAAAGTGGCGGTCGTAGGCGGTTGCCTTGACAGCAAGCTCACCCTTCTTGAATTCAACGATGGAGCAGGTGTAGTTGCTGTGGCCAATATCGACGAAAGCAACGCGCTTCGGCTTCTCCTCCGGTGCGGGAAGGTCAAGCTTCGTGATACCCCAGCCCAAAGCAGTAGCAGTGGTGTCGTTCATGAGACGAAGGATCTTGAGGCCGGCAATCTCAGCGGCGTCAATCAGACTTCTCCTTTGCGCATCGGTGTACCAGGCAGGGACGCTGAGGACGATGTCGTTGACGGGCAGCTTCAGCTCGGCCGAAGCGGTGGCCTTGATCTTGGTGAGGAACATGCCAACGAGCTGAGTCGCGGTGAACTGCTCCTTCTTACCAAGGTAGCTGACCTCGGCGCCGACCTGGCCGTTCATGTCGACGAGTTGCGCCGACACGTACTCCTGCTCGATGGCGACATCGGGGTCCTTCAGGCTGCGACCAGCGAGACGCGAAAGAGAGCCGACGGTGTTCTTGAGGTTGGAGACCTCCTGGGTCTTGGCGGCCTCACCAAGGTATCTGCACTTGGGGCTGAAGCCAACAAGAGAACTTTTTGGACGTGTCAGTCGTGCCTCGAGCGGGCGGGGCAGGCGGCGGGGGGAAAGACTTACGGCGTGGAACGGTTGGAGACCTCGTTGGTGACCTGGGCAGCGGTGAGCAGAGACTCTCTTGGGCGCGATGGCAGCAGCAGGGGGGTCGAGAACTTACGACATCGACACCGCGATTGCGCGCGACGGCAATGACGGTGTTGAGGGTCCCCAGATCTACACCAACGACAGACATGGCGCTATAATCGGAGTGGTTTGAGGGATGGAGTGGGTATACGGTCGAAAAGCAGAGGCGACAAACTCTTCGGAAGTCAACGGGGGGATGGCGAGAGAAAAATACCCTAGGGCAGGGCGCGGTGGTGTGGCTAGACAAGGCTGAAAAGCTGTTTGGGTTCGATGCAATTCTTGAATCTTCTCGGTGGCTCTAGTGGGGCAACGTTGGTCCGCGCGCCAAGCACACGTCAATTGGCCCGCTCCACTCCCGCTCGGCCAGCGGAACAGATGCGTCGAGACCCGCGCCGCATCTTCTCTCGCAACCCCGTGGGGGACCGGACATGACCTCCTGTTTTTGGCGTGTTGCGCTCCGCTTTGGCTTTATGGCCGCAGTAGGGCTGCCGGCCTTCCGGCTTTTGCTCGACGTGGCAGCTCCCAGCGCTCTCTTTGCATTCACACGCCTTTCACATTACCAAATCGGTCTTGGCTGCATCTTGGCGCCACGCGAACCACATCATAAACTCTGCTGCCACACCTTTCCTTCCCTACTCAGTACACAGCCCGCAACCCGAGCACCATGTCTGTCGTCTTCAATCCAATCTGGGCACCGAAACCACCCTTTCGCAGGCCTGGAGGCTTCACCAAACTCCCGAACGAGCTCTCAGAGAAGATCTTCAAATGGGCAAGTCATCCACCCTGTCCCCCCTCCCATGAAAGTCACGCCTCTACACCTGACCATTTTTGTCTGTACGTGATAGATTACTCAAAAGAGCGATCTCGTAAGCCTCTGCCTTACTTGCAAGGACCTACATCGCGTCGTCATTCCAATTCTTTACGGCGACGTTCTAGTGCCGCAGCAACCGCCGCGGACGACCATATGGGAGCCGTTACTCGTGGGCGGCTTGATGAAGGCAACCAACCACGGACCCGAGCATATTCGTGACCTTCGATTCGATTATCCCCGTGACAACCCCGGTAACCTTCCGGACTATGTCTCTAAATTGGTCAAACGCATCCCCAGCGATACGCTGCGTTCGGTCAAATTTCTCGGTAGCTCGGAGACGCCGGAAGTCCCATCCGATTTCCTTGTGCACTTGATGCGCAATCAGCGCAAGCTGGTAGAAATCGACATTCGTTGGCCACCGGAATTCAACGGTCATTGGGATGAGCTTGCTTCAGGATTTCCCATTCACGCTTTGACAACGCTGACTATCGGAGTCAAAGATGGAATTACCGAGAAAAGCGTGATAACCACGGCCGCTTTTCTTTCCACGGCAGTCAACGTTAGCAACGTATCCATCTACGGCGGACAGGGTGCCAGTAACGGACTGGAACGTGTGCTGGCAGTTGTTCAAAAGTATGTTACACAGCTGTCCAAGTTACAGCTCAGGTCGTTCAAGATCGCTGAGTTCGCCCGTGGGCTTGGACTCGCGATCAAGACGTTGGTTATGCTATTCGACTTCTCGAAACTGAAGTCACTCACCATCACGCGCTGTGACGATTCAGATTCGTTGTTCAAGAAGGTGTCGATGCAACAGCCCCACCACAAATACCTTGCAGAAGTATCCATCAAGAGGTCGCATGGAAATATGGACGAACTCTCCAAAATACTCCCCCATTGCACGGCACTCGAGAGTTTGGAGTTGTACGATGTGATGCATATGCGCAGAGAACTTGACTTGGCGCAAGTACTTCCATTCTTCATCACTGGCATTCACGGAAAGATCTTCAACATTCGCAAGCTATTCCTACATTCTATCTACTGGTCAATGAGCGCTGCCTATTATACTCGCGGCCCGGATCTCATCAAGCGCCTTTTAGAAGGTTGTCCGAAGCTCGAAGAGTTAATGCTGGATTTCCCTCCATGGATCCACGGTGATAGGTCATCCTGGAATGTTCAACAGTCGCAATTCATGAGTATCATAGCCCACGCTCCACGGTTGCGTTTACTTATCAACACCACCCAGGATGCATCTCGGCTCAATGAGAATCAGAGCATTCTCACACAGATTGATCCTAAACCTCCATCATGGGTGTCCAATCTCGAGCAGGGCTACCTTGCTCACCCCAGAACACATCAGGATGCATGGATGCATAACATGGTATCTGAAATGTTCCGTACATTTGCGTTTACTAACCCCAAATTGGAGGTTTATGGAATTATGGATCCGAGCCGTACCCGCTGGTTTGTCCGCCGTCCGGTATTGAAGGCTACGGGGAAGGTCGAGACCGTGGTCGAGGAGATCTGGCCGAAACGGATGAAGTTCGAGAAGCCTGAATACGATTGGTCATTTGGATCGAATGTAATCTAGCAGGCTGACACTCGTCGGCAGATGAATGTGCATGCGAATGCGCATGAGTTATGCTTGAGATGTGTTTCAAAGCGGTTTGCTGGGACCTCTTCTTTGGGCTAACTGGGTTTCTTCAATGTGCATACCTATGTACGTAGGACTATTATTGCTGGGTAGTTAGATCCTGCTATTACTGGTGTGATTCACATCCCCATGATGAGTGGTCCTCCGTACGAACGGAAGTGTTCCAAGTCGTCCCGAGTTTACGCAGTTGAAGATACTGCAATGACGCCTGTGTGCCCTTGTAAGTAGATCGAAACGCTCCCCACAGGTTACTTCGTGGGTGTGTCAAGAGCCTGCTCTCGTAGCTGGATGCGCAGCTCACAAGGGTATGTAGATGCGACCGAGTGTGACATATCGATGGAGCTGACTGCTGACAGCGCTGAGGTCGATGCAACGGCTTCACGTGATGGAAAAGCAGTTGCATGTGACAGGCATCTTGGGCCAGTTCCCCGCACCGAGCCACATGGCGGCTCTGCGGATAGAGTGGGTTCTGGTGTTGAAGCAAGCTGCAGCGGTGATCAAAGCTTCCCCGAATCAAATTTCATCCCCGCAGCGGCGGTCAGCCAAACGCACTTTTTACATTTGTACCATCACCTCCGCCTCTGCGTCACCACCTCTCTCCTCCCTCTTCCCTCACCCGACGACACAATGCGTCAAACTCGGATTTTCGCGGGCTCCTCGCACCCCGCCCTGGTCGAGGGCATTTGCGACCGATTGGGTCAGCGGCCCGGCAACGCAGAGCTGCGGAAGTTCAGCAATGGAGAGACCAGTGTGCAGATACGTCAGTAGACCACCGTCGCAGTTGGCTTGCTCGCGCGCATCTCCGTTGCTGGGCTTAAGCTGATATGATCCCAAAGAGACGTCCGTTCGCGACCAGGATGTCTTCATCGTGCAGAGCGGCAGCTCAAAGTAAGTCGCACTGCTTCCCTGCCCTTCGTCGGAGCGCGCCAACCTGACACTCGCCTCCAGGATCAACGACAATGTCATGGAGCTTCTCATCATGATTTCGGCCTGCAAGGGTGGCTCGGCCAAATCCATTACTGGTAGGATGCCTGCGCTCACGACAAACGGAAGGAGGCCTTGCTAACGTGTCCGCTGCGTAGCCGTTATGCCCTACTTTCCATACTCTCGCCAGAGCAAGAAGAAGTCCCACCGCGGCGCCATAACAGCCCGCATGATCGCGAACCTCCTCCACGTCGCCGGCGTCAACCACGTCATCACCATTGATCTGCACGCTTCGCAGATGCAGGGTTTCTTCAAGTGCCCCGTCGATAACCTTGTTGCCGAGCCGCTCATTGCGCGCTGGATCCGCACCAATGTCCCTAACTGGCGGGACGCCGTTATCGTGTCGAAGAACCCAGGCGGAACAAAGCGTGTGACCAGCCTGGCCGATGCGCTGAAGCTGAGCTTCGGCATCGTCACAACCGATCGGAGAAGGCCAGGGCGTGGCGAAGGTGGGCTCAGCCTGGCTGGCAGTGCTGTCTTCGGAATGGGCATGGATGGTCCTTATGATGATGCGGACTTGATCGATGATGCACTTAACATTCAGACCAGTGTAGCACATACGGCTGAGCAGGCGCACCTCGAAACTGTGCAGGAGGCTATTCAAGACGAGGAAACAGATATCAAAGGCGAGGAAGCCAAGGATGGAGAGAACGAAGAGAAGGCCAAGGATGAGGAAAAGGTCGAGGAGAAGGACGAGTCCCAGAAAAAGGAAGAGGAAGAGAACAAGGGCAAGGAGAGAGAGGACAAGCACAAGAGAGGCCGGAGCAGGGGTATCTCGAACACGCACGCCAAGTTCCTCATGAACGGCACCGGTGTGCCCTCAAGCCCGCTGGCCAAATCTTCCCGACCCGATTCCTTCTCCGAGGACGGCCCTGATTCTCCAAGGAAGGCTCTGATGCGCAGTGCTACCGCTCCCAGCGCCGCTCATTCACCAGATCACCCCGAGGCGGACGAATACACCGACGAGGTAAGCTTCTTACTCCACTAAAGACCATAGGTGTGATAACTCACAACTACCTACAGCGTGCCCGTGACGTCATCCATGGTCGCCTGGTCCACGGCCACATTGTCGACGAAGAGTGGCCATCCCCCGCACTCTCAGCCGTCTCCTTCAAGAACCGGCGCAACCGGGCCGGTTCCGACGATGACGACGTCGACCCCCCAGAGCAGATGCTCAACTCATTCATGTCGACCAAGTCGTCGGTACGACCAACGGAAGAGCCAGAAAACGCACACCCGATGGGCGGCTCGCATGACGCGGGCGACACGTCAGAAGCCGAAGAGGAAGAGCTCAAGAACCCGGAATTCGAGACGACGGTGACACTAGTGGGTAACGTGCGCGACCGGCCCGTCTGCATCGTGGACGACATGATCGACAAGTCGGGAAGCTGGATCGCGGCAGCCGAGACGGTGGTCAAGCGCGGCGGCGCGACAAAGGTGTACTGCATGGCGACGCACGGGCTGTTTGGCGGGGACTGCCTGGAAGAGATGCAGGAGTGCGAGTGCATCGAGCGCATCATCGTCACCAACTCGTTCCCGATCCCGGAGGAGAAGCGCGCGTCGTGCTCGAAGCTGACGGTGCTGCCCGTCGAGAGCCTGCTGTCGGAAGCGATTCGGAGGAACCACCACGGCGAGAGCATCAGCCAGCTCTTCTCCCTGCACAATTACGACTAAATGCGGCGCGCCCGTGTCGTAAGGACGGTTGGTGGGGCAGAGGGACGAGGGCGCCGGACTGGGCAGGTGTGGAACGCGGTGGTCAGGGGATGATGGGACGGCGGACGGAGACTACAGGCGTGTGGACGAGCGCGTCGGCGGGCGCGTGTGCGCGTGCCCGGGTTGGCGCAAAGGAGAGTCGGTGCGGCCTGCCTGCGCGGACATGCATGCTTACACTTACATGGGAGATGCGACAGGAGCGTTCTGGCCCGCGGTTCTCGCGCTCGTATGTATGTATGTACGTATGTACGTACGCACGCACGCGCGACGCTGCTCCCTCTTCTCTATCTGTTTGTCTGTCTCCATCCATTTGTCTGTCTGTCTTTGGCGGCGCCCTAAGTCCGTTCGTTTCCTTGCCTGCCTGTCTGTCTGTCTGTCTGTCTACCTACCTATCCACCTAGCGTCTCCTCCCCACACCTTCCACCCTCTTTCACCAAGTACTCGCGTGTGAGGTTTCGTCGTCTGTCACTCTATCACTCAATCACTGTTGCTCAGCACTTAGTCTGGTCAGGTCGTTCAAGTCGTTCAGATTAAAAAAAAAAAAAAAAAAAAAAAAACAGCACACGAAAACGCTAGGGCTAGTGTCGGAGTTGGTTGCTGTCGGGTGCTGTGCTGTGCTGTGCGGTGCGGCGTGTATATGTTCTTAGCGTTGGCGCTGCGGAGTCTGTGTGGTTTGGGGGCGGGGCTGGCTTTGCTGGCTATGCTGGCTTTTTTTCATTTTCGGTTTCGGTTTTTTGGGTTTGCGGCTGTGGGGGTGGTGGTGGTGGTGGTGGTGGTTCTGGTTGTATTGTTGTACTGTATCATTATCACATCTCGTTTTTGGTGGGTTGTGCTTTGTGAGTGAGTGCTCGCTGCTTCGAGAATGGCCAAAAAAAGGTCTAGCAAGGACAGACGACGAGGGGTGAAAGTGCGTGTAATCCGCACCGAGGATCCAGGTAAAACGTTAAACAAACACAGCAGCGGTCGATGGGGGTTGATGTTTATGTTTATTTACCGCCAAACTACCACCACCACCACCACCACAACTACAACAGCAGCAGTCTCTAATCAAACAGACACACACATACACGCACCCTTTCCCCCCCTTACCCTCCTCCCCCTTCAACACAACCGCACACGGCCTTATCGATAGCCCCCCCTCCCAAAAGGTTCTATAGATTATCTATCTACCTATCTAAGTTATCAGCTCCTCCTATCGGCTCATCCTATCAGCTATCTGTTATCACAATCACGCACGCCGATCACACAAGCGATCGATCAGCTGCGCATCCCCGAGTGCCCCGAGCCCCGAGGGTAGATTAGGTAGGTGGGGGCCGAGAGCGTTAATCGATAACCATAACTATAACTACCTGACCCTGTCCGTCCTGCACTAAGAGTAAGTAAGCCGTAGGTCGTGTGTAGAAGCGCGTGGGTTGTTGTTGTTCTGGGTTTAGATGTAAGGATGCTGTACAGTATGTACTTTGTCCGTGGTGCTGTGTTTCTGGAAGAGGGCTGGGAGTGACTCTCTACTCCCTACTCAGTGAGTTCTTGTCTGGATCTACGAGTTGGGCTCGTGGGTCAGTGTGGTTGTTTACGAGAGCCTGTAACTTAGCAATCCCACCAACTCTCTGATTGTAGTAGACGGACAGACAGATATGCACGTCAAGCAAAAAGCAGACCGCAGACTTGGAACAAGGAAAACACCATCCATTTGACTTTTATGATTCGCCTCGGCGCGCGCACCCAGCCCAAAAAGCCGGGCGCGCGCGCCTTTACCGCCGCCAGAGTAGAGCCAGAGCCAAGGCCAAGGCCAACGCCACCGTTCCCGCCCAAGTCGACGCCTCTCCCGCCACCGTCGCCAGCAAGCAAGGGTAAGTAAGTAGTGTGTAGTAGCAGCCTTAGGTAGTGCCGTCGCATGCCCCCTCCCATTCCGTCCCGGTCGCGCCATGCCCGTCCCTGTACGTACGTAGGACTAGGTATCTGAGTTGCATGTGTTTTGTGTATGTGTGAAAAGAGAAGCAAAGAGCAAGTCAAAGAAGGTCCGTGGGGGAGAAAAAGGAGAAAAAGCCGAAGAAAAAAGTAAAGTGAAGGTGGGTAATGAAGGGCGGTGCCGCAAAATGCGGTCGCGCGCGAACAGAGAGAAGCGTGGAAGGAGAGGTGGGGAGGGAGAGAAGGCGCTGGAAGAAATGAAATCAAGAAGAGGCAAGAAGTAGCAAGCTGCAAATCCCATCCATCGGTCATATTTCGAATACGCTCGTCAGTTCGACCACGTGCTGTTTGCTGTGGTGGAGAGCTTGAGACCGAAAAAAGAAAGGGGACTCGGGCCGAGCGCGCCGGCCGGTTCTTTTTTATCCGACCCGAACTTGTTTTCCATGGCGTACCGAGGAATGGAACGGAATTGCGGATTCAATACGCAGCAGAGAAGGCGGCGGGAAGCGGCGGTAACGCCTGTCGTAGTAGCCGGATATCAGACATTATTAAGGTATGATGAGGTGAGCTTGATCGTCGTGCGTGCGCGCGCCGGCGCCAGAGGGCGACGATCGAGGGGGAAGACCAAAGACCGCGTGCGAGGTAGAAGGGAGAAAGAGAGAAAGGACTCTCTCATGCCTTCCGAAAGGGCAACGCCGGTCTGGGATTTTGTGCGGGCAGAGGTGGAAAAACGCACGTGAAAGACATCGTCAGGTATCGCTCTGCAGAAAAGGACAAACGACAGGAATTTCAAGAAGCAGCTGCAACAACAACAACAACATTAGTTGGACTGCGAGGGTGTCGACAGAGGCGTCGACGCCGCGCTCTCATCGACAATGTCTGACAAGCGCATCTTCTTCTGCCGCGGGCCGTCGCGGTACTCGGACAACTCGGCCTCGAGCTCCTCGATGCGGCGCTTAAGATCGGCCTCGCGGGCTTGGCTTTGTTCGAGGCCGGCGCGCAGACGGTTTTCGGCGTCGCGAGCAAGGGTTTCGTCGGTGCGGGCGCGCTGCTCGCTCTGCTCGAGCTCGGCGACGCGGCCGCGGAACAAGTCATTAATGACCTCGAGCTCGCTGACGCGCGTCTTGAGCGACGTGTTTGTGTTGGCGAGACCGTCGTAGGTCATGGGTGGCTCGAGGTGGGCGCCATTGATGCTGCTAGCCGAGGGCGAGGGCTGGCGGTGGTGCAGGGCAAAGGCGGGCAGCGACGACGAGTGGAATTCGTGGCCGTTGAGGGTGACGCCGTCGAACATGTGCTGGGGCGCAATGTTGGAGGGGTGGTGCAGACCGGGGGTGCCAGTGCGCGACAGCGGCGACGCCGATCGTTCCGAGGCGGCGGACGACATCTTCTGCGACGTGCGTCGGTGGTTCAGCGCGTCGATGGGCGGCGTGCCGGCCTGGGCGCGCATGTGGTCGAGGCCATTGTGGTCGGGGTGAGAGTGGGGGGGAGGCTGGGAGTGTCAGAGAGAAGGTCAATCGAATTGAAGAAGGGAGAGAGGATACCTTCTTCTTGGGCGCCTGGCCCGACGTCTTGACGCGGTTGCGGCTTTTGATCACGTCGGTCTTGAGGCTTATCGGGCGCGGACGGCCGTGCAGCTTGAGGAAGAGGCCGCAGGCGTTGCAGAGGACGGAGCCAACCTCATCGCGGCGCCACAGGGGAGTGGTGCTCGTGGTGCAGTTCTGGCAGATGGGCTGTTGGTTGTTGTCAGCGAGCGTGGCCATGGCGTGGATTTGGTGTTGACGACTGATAAGAGATGGATAAGCTGGGCGGGCGGAGCGAAACGACGAAGAAAAAGAGATTTCGCTGGTTGGTTGGCCGGCGCTCCCGCCCGCCGGGATCGATCAACTCACCGGACTCTGGCCCCCCGATGCGGCAGGTGCGGACGTCGCATACGCCCCGATGCGCCTGAAATGTCTCTTGTCGTCGCCCGTCAGCGATGCCAGCCCGGGCAGCTGTACGCTCTGCTGCGAGTGCGGCGACGCCGACGCTGCCCGCGAGATGCTCAGGCCGATCGACGGCAGCGACGGCCGGTCGTCGAGCGGCGGCAAGTCGCGATCCGACAGCGACGACGCCGGCCGGTAGCCATCCATGGCCGCCGGCCGGTTGAGCAACGAAATGGCGAGTGCGGAAGCCGTGGCGGGCGATTGGGCGACGTGGGAGAAACGCGGGTGGGCGCTTCTCTCACTCTTCAAAAAAAAAGGTTTGGGTTGGTTGGACGAAGGAGCGACTTTGGGCCAAAGGAGCGACAGGGTGGTGGGATGAAAGGAAAGGCAAGAGTGGGCAGTGGACAGAGGGCAGAGAGTCGCAGCAGAGAGAGAGAGCTCTCGTGGATAAGGGGCACGCAGTCCAAGCCAGGGATGCGATAGAAGGGCCATCGTCCCCAGCGCCCGCCGTTCTAAATTTGGGGCCTCATCTGTGCTTCTCTTCGTTGCACAATTTCCAGATGGCGGCGGCTTGGGCGGCGCATCTACAAGAGTACAGATAGGAATCTATACATGTGTCGCTGGGGGGTGGAGCGCGCCACCCTCGACGCCCCAAGGGGCCGTCGCCATGGTTTATTTCTGCTACCCGCGCAGGGCTGCGGCACCTCCCATCGTGATAACGAACGATACCACTACGGATGTCGGATCTCCCGAAAGGCGCGCACGCACGCCCATGCCGCCAATCGATAGCTGCTTCAGGGGTAGCTCCACCGTTTATTAAAACCCCAGAATCCTTCGTATCACTGTCTTGGCGATCTCCAGCCTTTTGCTCTATCCGCGACGTCACCTCAAGTGGCCGTTTCAGCGGGAAGTTAGTAGCAAGTAGTAGTCAAGACGCCGCATCCGAAGTGGCTTGTTACAGTATTGATGATGAATGACGATGATGATGATGATTATTTTACATTGTGCGACTGCGACGATGGCTGCTCATGCTCATCTCTGTCCTTAGTACTTCGTACTACATAGCACCCCCTTGTCCTTGTCGCTCCGTTGGCCGGGATGATGGCGCAAAGCAGGGACAATGACATGGCCCGGCCAGACCCCTTTTCGCGCGGTGCGTGAAAGAGCCACCGATCTATCTGAGCCGCGCGCGATTGGCTGCGGCTGCCGAAGCAAGCCAGCGCACGTCAATCCCCCGTCATGCCCGCCCCGAACCCCCGATCCCCCCGACCGTCCGACGCCAGCTTGCAGTTGAGGCTCTGCCCCTCCACCCACGCCTCGTGCCCGCCGACACCATGCCCAAAGGCAGGCCCGTCCCCAGCTCCGGCTATGCCCGCATTGCCCAGGTCGAGGAGGAGGAGGAGGAGGAGCATGACCACTTCCTCGACGACTCGTCTGGCGACGAAGACCCCTACCGCGCCCAGCCCACCCTCTCCTCCACCGCGCCTCAGTTCGCCCCGATCCAGCCCCGCCGCCATGGCCGCATGACCTCGGACGTCTCGCCCTCGCGGCGCAGGCCGTACGGCGGCCGCCTGCGCAGCAACTCGGGCGTCGACATCAAAGCCATCAACGCGCGGCTCGAGCGCTGGGCTGACGAAATCGCCTCCAAGTTCAAGCGGCGCCGGGTGCGCGGCAAGACGCAGGAGGAGGAGCAGCTGGAGATACACCACTCGGTCTTTCAGGCCCCGGACTGGATTAGGCCTGCCACGGCGGAGCAGCTGGCCGAGTACGACAGCGCACAGGGCGACCGGCTCACCAAGCTGCAATTCGACGACATAGTCGAGAGCATTAGGGTTGCCATCGAGCTGGGTACCCACCCCAAGATGATATCGCAGGGCAGCTCCGGCAGCTACTTTGCGCGCAACGCCAATGGCAAGGTCGTCGGTGTCTTTAAGCCCAAGGACGAGGAGCCTTACGCCTCGAGGAATCCCAAATGGACCAAATGGATACACCGCAACCTGTTCCCCTTCTTCTTCGGCAGAGCATGCCTGATACCCAATTTGAGTTACGTGTCGGAGGCCGCTGCTTACGTCCTGGACGCCCAGCTGCGACTGAACATTGTTCCCTACACCGACATTGTCTCATTCTCCTCCAAGTCTTTCTACTACGATTTTTGGGACCGCCGGGCGTTTTACAGGAAGAAGAAGCCTCTGCCTGAAAAGATTGGCAGTCTTCAGGTCTTCCTGAAAGGATACAAGGATGCCACCCAGTTTTTGAAGGAACACCCTTGGCCGGACCAGCACAACGGTGGCTTCAAGGCGGACCCCGCGCGAAGACGCAGAAAAAGGCGATGGGTGGAGGATTGCAGGCCGAGTGGCCCCGCTTCTGACGACGAAGACGAAGACTACCGGCCAAGCACCGCGGAAGAAGCCAACAACAGGCGTGATTTTTGGACGGAGCCTTTGCAACAATCGTTCCGCGAGCAGTTGGAGAAGCTGGTAATATTGGACTATATTATGCGGAATACGGACAGAGGCCTGGACAACTGGATGATCAGGATCGACAAGCAGACAGAGGAAGCTAGCATTGTCGCGGAGGCACCCAAGCATGATGGCATAACGAGAGACGAACCATACAAGCGCCGGGAGCAGATGGTCGCGACTAGCCGGTCTGGGACGCCGGCGAACAGCAAGAACAACAAGGACGGGCCTAGCGTGTCGCTGGGTGCCATCGACAACAGTTTGTCATGGCCCTGGAAGCATCCTGATGCCGTAAGTGCGCTGCAACGGATACACGTGGATAACAGCTAACGTATCGAAGTGGCGAAGCTACCCTTTTGGCTGGCTTTTCCTCCCTGTTTCCCTTATCGGCCAACCCTTTTCCGAAAACACACGACGCCACTTCTTGCCGTTGCTTACTTCCAAGCAATGGTGGGGCGATACGCAACTTGCGTTGCGCAATTGCTTCAGCCAAGATGCCGATTTCAAAGAGCGCATGTTTGCGCGCCAAATGGCTGTCATGAAAGGTCAAGCGTGGAACGTTGTTGAAACGCTCAAGACTCCTGATCACGGCCCGCTGGAGTTGACTCGGCGTGCTCGAGTCTGCGTCTGGGACGACCTTGTCGACATTCCCGTCGCGGTACCACTGCAGCGGCCGAGCATGGAGATGCGCAAGCACGAGGATGTTCTGCGGGCACGGGAGCAGCAGGAAGAAATGGACATCAGTTCGGCGCTGGCCAGCTCGGCGCCTAACACGCCGCAGCACTACGACCTTCTGGGGCTCGGCGAGTCGCCGGCGGGCGGCAACCGCTTCAACATATCGAGGCAGCTGGACGCACGGTCCGACGCCGACGCAGCGTCGCTGCGGTCGGTGCACTCTCCGCGCATCCCGCCCGCCAAGACTCGTATGAGCTACGACGGCCCGCCTCGTCTGCTGCGCGCTGCCAGCCCGAAGGGCCGGCGTCGCAACTTCAGCTTCAGCGTTCGCGGCAACAACGGCGTCGACATAGCAGAGGCCGATGCCGAGGGCGATCTGGGCTATGCGGCGGCAGAGGATATGGAGGACCACAGGAAGAAGGTCATTGTCGAAAGGCTTGAGACGGTCAAGAGCAAGAACCCGGTGTTCACCTGGTGTTGAGCGAAGACGGGATGGGGATGGGAGGAATCATGCTGCTGTTTTTACTTTTGGTATCGCACGGAGGTGTTTTATGTCTGCCTGTTTGTGCCAACGCTTTGATGAAAGACGGTATATTTGGTGCCGGATGGAAATGATGAGCGGGGAGGCGTTTCTTATAGTGTCGATGATTCGGTTGTATACCTTTGAGGCAGGGGATATGAGCCAAAAAACTGAATATGAATGCACGGAGGTGATGGGGTCAAGGTTTGCCGGGAGTATTTTTTTATCATCGCGGCTGTTTTATCGCGACTGCTTTACTATACAGAGCATCAAGCAGTGAGCAGCATGATCGAGTGCACGCAGCAAAATGTGGCGGCTAGGCCCAAATGGGGTTTAGCGTGGAGCTGCTCTCGGGCTTGAGGCAGCAACCGACGTGATTCGAATCAAAGCATCATGCCTTCCTTCCTTCTCCAGCCCGCGCTGCTTTGACTGAAACTTTGAGCGCTCACTTTCACAGCACTGCAGTCACATGTCTCCTGCGTTTTAACGCACCCGCCGACAACACCAAATCTTCTCGCCGATCTTCCTTCCCTCCTCGACACGCTTGCTTCACATGACAGCGCGTCCCTAGTCACGCCTTGTCCCTCTTTCCCTTTGGCTAGCTGCTGCCGCGCCTTGCACAACTTCATCGAGTAGCCTTTGGAGGTCTCGTCTGCTACTGGCTTTTCCCCCGACTAAGCCTTGCCGCGATATGAACCCTGCTCAGCTGCTCAACCCAAAAGCCTTCAAGAAAAGCAATGGTACTTCTTCAGCCTTTTATTGCCTCTTCTCGCCTTCTGTCACCTCAACTATCTTCACTTCTCCGCTCGCCAGACACCATGGCGACTAATCAAGACCAACTTTCTTCACCTTCCGATACCAGCATGACTTTGCCTCCGTCTGACACAGCCACTCTGCCGTCAACGCCACCGTCCGAATCATCACAGCCCGCTGCATCCACTGCAGCTGAACTTGATCCAGCCTTGTCCGAACAGCAGCTAACTTCCGAAGGTCGCGCATCGCCCCGTGTTTCGCAAGAAGGTCAGAGCACACCACCAGTGAGGCCGCAGTTTGACCCCAATGCTCTATTGAATCCCAAGGCCCCAGCGAAGCGTCCTCATGAAACGGATGGACTTGGCCAAGATGACTTGGTGCAGCCATCCGATCTTGGCATGGGCTCAATGATAGAGCGCATGCATGGTGTTCAGCGTCGCGAAGACCAACCAGCTAAAAAACCAAGACTAGACCATGACACTAACAGCCAGAAAGCGGATTTCAAAGGTGCCGGACAAGGAACTGTCTTGAGTGAGTACGTCACTTCTCAACAAGAGCAGAGCAAGAAAGACAGCCGCCCAACAAGGGAGGTCGTTGACCTCACTGCCGATGATGACGAGGACATTGTACTTGTCAAAGACGCTGGTGCTGAGGAAGTCGTTTTGGGCCGGCTTGAGGGCCCTATTGTCCATTGCCACATCGTGCCGGGCATGAAGCATGGCGCGTTCCAGGGCAGCAGCAGTGTGTGGCCTGCTATCGACGTCCAGCTTGTCAGGAATCCCAGTGGACACGACTACAACGTTTCTGTCTTTGACGCCACCAAGACAGCTTTTGGTAAACTGGATATCAGGACGGCCATGGGACTGGTGCCACTCATAGATGCGTCCGCTGCCATCAATCTTCGGATCAAGGCTCGCCTCCCTCCTCGTAAAAAGAAGGCTGCACCTTGGACCCCTTGCTCTGATGCACTTCCGGTTGACATACATCTATTCGCTCCACGAAAACATGCCAAGAACATCGGAAAAGCTTTGAGTCAGAAGCAGCTGTGGCTCCGCGATCCCAATATTCCTCGCCTTGGAGTACCGTACTTCAACCCCCATGTGCCTACTACATCTTCGGTACCTTTGAGCACTAGCCGTCAACAGGGATCCAGCTACACCTTCGTAGCGCGGACCCAGGAGGAAGTTCGCTCAGATGTCATCAGCATGTTTGATTCGCTTACCAAGTCTGGAGAACTTCCGCAGATGGAACAGCCCGCTACAATTAAGACTCCACTCCTCCTTCATCAGCAACAGGGCCTGCACTTTATGACATCTAGAGAGATGGATGATAGCGAGGGTGACGGTCAAAAGGAAAGCGCCTCGCTCTGGAAGCCGAAGACTAAGAGGAACGGCCAAAAGTTTTACTACAACATAATCACAGGTCAGGAATCACGGGCAAGGCCGGCATCCATCCGCGGTGGTATACTTGCGGATATGATGGGCCTCGGCAAAACATTGAGTATCTTGTCTCTAGTTTCCGCGACGAAGGGAGAGTCTTACGAATGGGCAAAAAAGTCTCCTCCCCAAACGCCTGGTCAGCCACTACTCAAGCTCAATACGAGGGCAACGCTTCTCATATGTCCACTCAGCACCGTTGCCAATTGGCAGGAACAGATCAACGCGCATGTTGCCCAGGGTTCTATGAACCTTTACGTCTATCATGGTCAGCCAAGGGCATCGACACCCGAAGAACTGAAAGATTACGACATTGTCATCACTACGTACCATGTCGTCGCTTCTGAGTTCAATTCCGGCAAGCCGTTGTCGTTGATAAATTGGTTTCGCATCGTCTTGGATGAAGCCCACATGATACGGAGCCAGAGCACGAAACAGTCGATCGCTACCTGTGCTCTGCATGCGCAACGCCGATGGGCCGTTACCGGTACACCTGTGCAGAACCGACTGGACGATTTGGGCGCGTTGATCAAATTTTTGAGAATCAAGCCGTTCGACGACAAGGGTGGATTTGCGCAATACATTCTTACGCCCTTCAAGAACGCAGATCCTGACATCTTGCCAAAGCTACGGATTCTTGTTGATTCTATCACTCTACGCCGTCTCAAGGACCGTATCAATCTCCCTCCTAGGCACGATAAACTTGTGCGCCTCAAGTTCTCTGCAGAAGAGGGAAAACTCTACGACTTTTTTGCAAGAGATGCTGCGGCTAAGATGTCCGCCATGGCCAGCGGCAGGGAGAAGTTGGCGAAGAACCAAATGGGCCACATCCTCCGCGTGATGGGCCGGCTGCGCATGATTTGCGCACACGGTGCGGAACTCCTTGGAGAGGAGGATATGAAGCTCACTGAGGGTTTGAGCTATGGCAATGCCATCGAGCTCGGTGATGACGACGAAGAAGAAGAAGAAAAGCCCGCTCTCACTCCAAAGCAAGCTTACGATATGCTGCATCTACTTAGAGAGAGCGACATGAACCACTGCGGCATCTGTGATACTGTAATCGGGAACAATGACCTCTCGGAGAGCGATGACGATGCTGCAAGGGACAGCAAGGGCACAATGGGGTATATGACGCCCTGCTACCAGATTGTTTGTCCGACCTGTCTACCTGAATTCAGGGAGCGTGTCAAGCCGAGAATGGCGGGTGGCAATTACATGAACTGCCCGTTGTGCGACAGCTACGCCCGCATGTCCCTTTTCCAGCTCAGCCAAGACGAAGCAGACAAGGACGAAGAGGCACGCCTCCGTGTTCGCGATAACCCCCGTCTGGCAAAGCAACTGGGCCGTTACGGTGGACCGCATACCAAAGTTAAGGCACTCATCCACGATCTCCTGGAAAGCAGAGCTTGGAATGAGGCGCACCCTGACGAGCCTCCGATCAAGAGCGTCGTCTTCTCAGGCTGGACCTCCTACCTCGACCTAATCTCGATCGCGCTCGAAGACGAGCATTTCACGTATACGCGCCTGGACGGTACCATGTCACGTAAAAAGCGCAAAGACGCGCTCGACGCGTTTCGCGATGATACCACGGTGCAGATCATGTTGATCTCGATCGCAGCGGGCGGCTTGGGCCTGAACTTGACGTCTGGATCGCGCGCCTACGTTATGGAGCCGCAGTACAACCCAGCGGCGGAGGCTCAGGCCGTGGACCGCGTGCACCGTCTCGGACAGAAGCGCGAGGTCACGATCACGCGCTTCATCATGGAAAACAGCTTTGAGGAAAAGATGCTGGAGCTGCAGGAGAAGAAGAAGGATCTTGCGGACTTGTCGATGAACCGGAACGCGAAGCTTGATCGAGAGGAGGCGGCGCGGAAGAGGCTTGAGGATCTAAGAAGCTTGTTCCGCTGAGCGGGGCCAGCTACGATGTGGCTTGGTCGTCAGCTCTACTCATGAGCTTACCATTTATCTACTTGTTCCGCTCTTCGTTCCCTGAGCGGACAAAGGAGAGAAGACGGAGTCCGGAGGATCATTTAGGACGGGATATTGCTTGCGGCGGTTTTGATTTGCTCATCTGCATGGTTGGAGGCTCAGATTGGGCTTTTCGTACCTCTTTCCTACTTATACTTTCTCTCATCTCTTTTCATTCCCTTCTAACCCACATAAGAGCATTTACGGCGGCGGCGAGTTAAATGCTCTTACCCTTCTTTTGGCTTGGCTTCCATCATTCGTTAATGACTTTTGAGCAGCTGGTGAGGATACCCTTTCTGCGAAGATGGATCTACGGTACGTAAGGGGAGTGGAGGTTTCATGCATGGAGGAAATCCTTTCGAGTTAGGGGTTGAGTTGAGATCTTCGAAGCCCCGAGCGGTGCTTGCGGCGATGTGGTTTGCTTAGATCTCTTATTGCTTGCTTTGTTATGGCGAACATTTCATATAGGTGGGGTCCAGGAATTGATACGCTTGAAGCGATTTGATTTTTGGGTGCAGTGCCGTGAGAATGGTAGTTGATCACGCTATGCCCATTAAATCGTGAAGACCCTCCGCTGTGGTGCAACCCGGCGCACTAGTAGCGGACCCACAGACGCGTGCATGCGCGTTCGCGCGTCATAGGCAGGCACCAACGCGTCACCCGGATCAGACTTCACCACCGAAAGCTTCGACCTACCCAAAAGCAGTTACACCAATATACCTACCCACCGGTACTGCGCGCTCCACGAAACGACGATTACGCGAGAACTTACACGGCCGTACACGACCCCGGCTCACGATCACTCACGATCACGCACGACTGCGCACAACCGAACACGACCCACAGACAGGCCATGGGCTAAGCGCGCGCAATGGCAGCCACAATCAAAGCCATCGAAGGGCGCTCCGTTCACCAAATCCAAGCCGGCCAAGTCATCGTCGACCTAAACTCAGTAGTCAAAGAGCTCGTAGAGAACAGTCTGGACGCCGGGGCCAGCAGCATCGAGATACGGTTCAAGAACAACGGGCTGGACGGGCTCGAAGTGCAGGACAACGGGACGGGCATCTCGCCCGCGGACTACGGGTCGGTGGCGCTGAAGCACCAGACGTCGAAGCTGGCGAGCTATGGCGACTTGGACACGCTGCAGACGTTTGGGTTCCGCGGCGAGGCGCTGTCGAGCCTGTGCGCGGTTGCGCGGGTGAGCGTCGTCACGGCGAGGAAAGAGGATGGGGCCCGCGGTGCGAGGCTGGAGTTTGAGGCTTCGGGACAGTTGAAGAGCACGGCTGTTGCGGCGGCGCAGAAGGGCACGCTGGTTGGCGTCGAGGGCTTGTTTGAAAAATTGCCGGTTAGGAGGAGGGAGCTGGAAAAGAATATTAAGAGGGAGTATGGCAAGGTACTAGGGCTGCTGCATGCGTACGCGTGCGTGAGCACGGGAGTCCGCTTCGCGGTTAGCAATCATGCCGCGAAGGGGAAGAAGGCCGTCGTTTTCTCGACGAAGGCGAACCCGACCACACGAGAGAACATCGCGAACGTGTACGGTGCGAAGACGCTGGCGGCGCTCATCCCGCTAGATTTAGACCTCGAGATGACGCCCACGTCCACTACCACCACCACCTCCTCTGCATCCCACACCGCCGTCCACATCGTCGGCCACATATCGCGCCCCGTCGTCGGCGAAGGCCGGCAGACGCCCGACCGGCAGCTCTTCTTCGTGAACTCGCGCCCGTGCGCCCTCCCCCAGGTCTCGAAAGCTGTCAACGAGGTCTACAAGTCCTTCAATGTCACGCAGTCGCCGTTCGTGTTCGCGGACCTGCGCCTCGATACCGCCGCTTACGACGTCAATGTCTCGCCTGACAAGCGCACCATCCTGCTGCATGACCAAACGGCGCTGCTGGATGCACTGAAGGATGCGTTGGCGAAGCTGTTCGAGGCTCATGACCAGAGTGTGCCGCAGGCACAGTCGCAGCTGGGAGGTGCGAGGAAGGGCGCGTTGTCGCAGTTTAAGCCGCTGAGTTTTGTGAGGCAAGCTTCTTCGGCTGCGCGAGATGCGGAGGCGCAGCGGACCACGCCTGCTGTTGATGATGATAGGGGAGAGGACAACGAGGAGCTGCCTGCATCTAGTGCGCCAGTGGAGCGAAATGGCTCGTCTATCAGCCTGATCCAGCAGTTTGCGGGAAGGAATGCCACGGATAGGAGTCAGTTGCCTGCGCGCAAATCCTCGGCTTCAAAGAGCAGGACAGAGTCGCCAGACACGCAAAGCGGCGCGGAGACCGCTCAAAAGGACGGGGAACAGGTCCGGCCAGAACAGCAAAATGACCAGTCTGCAATGGACATTGACGACGCCGCCGACACCGCCGACAACACCACTCCCTCCGCACCCACCACGCCCGCCGCCGTCTCCCTCCACGTCCAAGACTTCAACGCCCGCCTCGCAAGCCAACAACAACACCACCGCACACCTTCCCCACATCCATTCCGCACCCCCTCCCAAGGCCCCACAACAACCTCCACCGCCGAATCACCAATCACAGTGCTCGCCCCTCCCTCCTCCCAGCGCCAAACCTCACCCAAACCCCTCATCAATGCCTTCGACCGCATGCGGCCCAAGCGCGCGCCTCCAGGCTCCGAAACAGCGACTATTACGATTGGCGACAACACTACGACGATGACGATCGGTACTCCGCCGAGCTTTAAGCGCCGCAGAGTTCATACCCCGAGGTATGATCTGGATGGCGGGGTTTTGCCGTCGCCTGTGAAGGGGAAAGGGAGGCGCGATGGGGTTGGGGTTGGGGGTGGAGAGACGATGGGCGGGTTCATGAGTGCGTTGAGGGCTTTTGCGGCGCCGGGGACGCAGGGGGAGGGAGAGGAGGAGGGGAGTCAAGACGAGGATGGTGAGGGTAGGGAGAGGTTAAGGTGGCAGGCGAGGCGGCGGAAGGAGGAGGAAGACGACGAAGGGGAGAAGGAGGACGAGAGGTCGGACGCTGAAGACGCAAGCAGGAGTGCTTCGCCTATGCGGGATGGAGAGACGTCGAGAAAAGAAGCCCAAGGCCGTATCTTTCCCGATGACAGCGACAGCGAAATGGACGAAAGGTCCGACGCGCCTGCCGTTCATAACCGCCGCCACGAGAAAGACGGCTCTCCGCTGTTTGTGCAGCAGGATGAAGATGAGGATGATGACGATGGTGAAGAGGAAGAAGAAGCGCGGAACAGTCACGATCATGACAACCACGACCACGATCACGACGACGAATACCTCGACGAAGCCACCAAAAAAGCGCGCGAAGACGCCCGCGTCGCAGCCATGATCGCCAAAGCCGAAGAAGCAGCCACCCGCCCCACTCACGACACGCTGCGCCGCGCAACCAACGCGCTCAAGAGCAGCGCACGGAAAAACGCGCCGTTGCGGCTTGCTCAGCGCTTGAATGCATCCACGGCGCAGATCGAGCAAGCGTTGGCGCGGCTGGGTGAGCTGGTGGGAGGGGATGGGGATGCGGATGTGGATGCGGAGGGTGAGTGTGAAGGTGATGCGAGCCTGCCGGAGAGCGCAGAGGAGAAGCTCGCCCTCACGGTGTCGAAGCGCGATTTTGCACGCATGCGCGTCGTCGGGCAGTTTAATCTCGGCTTCATCCTCGCTGTGCGGCCTGCTTCGCACGCCCAAACGCAAACCCAAGGCGCCAGCAGCAGCAGCAGCAGCGCAGCAGCCGACGAGCTCTTCATCATCGACCAGCACGCCTCAGACGAAAAAGTAAACTTTGAGCGGCTCGCGTCAACCACGGTGCTAGAGCCTCAGCGACTGGTCCGCCCCCTACGTCTGGATTTCACGGCTTTAGAGGAGGAGATTATCCAGGATAACGCGGCCGCGTTCGCCGCCAATGGCTTCTTGCTCGACGTCGATACCACTGGCGATGAGCCGGTCGGCCAGCGCTGCCGCTTGCTGGGCTTGCCGCTGAGCCGGGAGACGGTGTTTGGGGTGCCGGACTTGGAGGAGCTGGTTGCGCTGCTGGGGGAGGGGGAGGAGGGCGAGGCTGCTGAGGCCGGCGGCGCCGTTCCTTTGGTGTCTGGTGCTGGTGGTAACGGTGGGGCTGGGGTTGGGGCTGCTGGTGCAGCACCAAAGCACATTCCTCGCCCGGCGAAGGTTCGCCGCATGCTTGCGAGCCGCGCGTGCAGGAGCAGCATCATGGTCGGGAAGACGCTGACGCCGCGCCAGATGCGTGGCGTGCTGGATCGCATGGGCGGGATTGATAAACCCTGGAATTGTCCGCATGGGCGGCCGACGATGAGGCATTTGGCTAGGCTGGGCGAGTGGAGGGCTGCTTGGGGTGAGGG